GACCAGGAAAAAAAAAAAAAACCAGAAAAAAAAACCAAGAAAATTAAAGTAAAAAAGTATGCCTCGAGCTACAGTCAGATTTCATCAGTTCCCTCTCTGGAGGTGAATAGCATTTTTCAACATAAGTCCTTTGAAATTGTCTTGGGTCGTTGCGTTGATCAGAATAACCAAGTCATTCACAGTTGATCATCATTCAATACTGCTGTTACTATGCACAATGTTCTCATGACTCTGCTCACTTTGTTTTAGATAAGTTCATACAAGTCTTTCCATGTTTTTCTGAAACCATCTTGCTCATCATTTCTTATAGCACAACAGCATTCCATCACAACCATAAACCACCACTTGTTCAGTCAAGGCCCAATTGATGGGCATTCCCTTGATTTCCAATTCTTTGACACCACAAAAAGAGCTGCTATAAATATTTTGTACTGTGAAATTAAAAATTGATTTTAATTCTATTTTAAAGAGTTAATCAAGCTGGCATGGGTTTAATACTCACTCATGCCTTATAAATCCAAACTTCTTACCTTTGTATCTTCACTCATCTACATTCAGAGAAACCTGCCTAAAGGTCATGCTTTTGTCCTGTAATTACTCAGGACTCAATTCTGTTGTGAATTGAATCTTTACCCTTGTATTGTCTACCTTTGTAACTTCATCCACTACCCACTTAACTTAAATTCAGGGGTGTATGGGGTATTCCAGGAAGACCAGCATCAATGGTGTGAGGGCTTGCCAACCCTTTTCAGGGCTGCTCATTCACCTTTGATGTCCATCTTTCACCTAGCTATCACCTGGGGCTCCAAGAAGCTGTAGAATGCACAAGAGGTCACAAACCAGTTAACTGTCTGGGCAGATGGCCAAACCTGGTTGTGGGTAACCACTGGGCCTCAAACCTGTGGGTGAGTAAGAGAAACGTCTACCCTAAGCATTTAAAGACTTCCCTGGCAAAATAGATAGATGAGAACAATCTGTTCAGCCGTGAAAACAGCTGAAACAGGCCCTTAAGGTGGAGCACTCATAGCTTAGTCAGACATTGAAGACACCAAAGTAATCCACTGCATCCCGGGCCATGGACAGTTGTCCTGATTTTTGTCTTGCCACTGTAGTATTATGACTCAGGAAGACAGAGTGAGGTTGTTGACTTTGTGCAACTCTACCTCACTTAAATCCAATTCACCCAAGATTCAAGTCATTGGCCCTCTTAGAAAACAAAGGACAAACAACAACTCAAATTCAAGTTGATTCAAAGCCTAGCAGTTTCCACCCAAATCTGTAAACTAATCCTCCCACTTGAGGATTACTCCTACCTCCCAGCAAGGAAGATATGGGAAGTAACTAAGGTGACTTAACCCACCTCCTCTTAAAATGCCTACCAATTGAGATTTTCATGATGTCAGGTCAATTAGAAGATGACATACAGCACTGAAGATTTTGCTCTGTCATCTTGTCAATTGTTATAAAAGACCCTGTCGGGGCAGCTAGGTGGCGAAGTAGATAGAGCTCCAGCCTTGGAGTCAGAAGGACCTGAGTTCAAATCCAGCTTCAGACACTTGACATTTACCAGTTGTATGACCTTGGGCAAGTCACTTAACCCCACTTGCCTCAACGAAGGGGAGAAAAAAAAGGAAGACCTTGTCTGTCGGCCCTCACTCTCAGGGTCTTTGGTCATTGAGAGAGGCCATTGACCCAATTTATTGGGTACTGTTTGCCTAACTAATAAATTGATCATGCTCAGAACCTTGTCTCTCAGTTTACCTTGATTTCAATCCTAACAGTAAATATATATATGTCTTTTTCCTTTTTCTTTGATCTCTCTGAGATACAGACCTAATAGTGGTATTGCTGGGTCAAAGGGTAAGCACAGTTATATAGCTCTCTATATAGGAATAGTTTCAAATTGTTCTCCAGAATGCTTGGATCAGTTTACAACTCTACCAACATCAGTTCATTTGTCCCACTTCCCCATCAACATTTGTCATTCTCCCCTTCTGTCACATTAGCCAATCTGATAGGTGTGAGATGGTACCTCAGAGTTGTATAAATTTGCATCTCTCTAATCAATAGTGATTTAGAGCATTTTTTCACATAGATAGCTTTGATTTCTTCTTCTGAAGACTGCCCGTTCATATCCTTTGACCATCTGTCAGTTGGGGATACAATGGGGATACAATGACTTGTACTCTTACAAATTTGATTCACTTCTCTATTTATTTGAAAAATTAGGCCTTTATCAGAGAGACTTGCTGTAAAATTTTTCTTCTTTCCTGCTTTCCTAGATATCCCATTCTTAATTAAGGAGGTCAAAGGTTATCTGTTTGGGGGTCCTTCTCAAGTTTTATTTGGCTGTACTCTCTGTCCCAGATATACATACTGATAGGCAAGTTCTACAGGCTGTCCAGCCAAGTTTATGTTGTAATTTGGGTAAAAGGCATTCTTCTTCCACTTGGCCTTTCTGGTATGGATAGTCGAGCCAAACTTCTTTGACTGATTATTGGGCTGGCTATTAGAATTCTGCCTCTAACACATTCTGGTTATGTGACCAGACAAGTTACTTTACCTCTCAAACAGTGGAAGCAGTTTTCACAGGAGAGTTCCCCACACTGATGAAATCACAGTTCAAAAAAAAAAATCTCTCCAAAGTTTTCTCTTTTGTAGGGTAAACATACACAGTTCCTTCAAATGATGATTTTCAATTCCCTTCACCATCCTAGTTGCCAGACTTTTATTTCCGCTTGTTAATGGGGTTCCTAAAATATAGCACCCAGAATTGGACACAGTTCTTAAAATGTGATCAGGCCAGTGCAAGTACTGCCAACTCCCTCATTCCAGACACTAGACTTCTATTAATGCAGGCCAAGTTTGCACTAACTGTTTTGGCTGCTATGTCATACTGTTGATTTAGCCACATGATCAGAGCTGTGCTTTAGGGAAATTGCTTTAGAAGAGTACACAAATGTGCAGAACAGATTGGAGAGAAATCTGAGATATGGAGAGCAATTAGAAGGCTATTGAAACAGCCAAGAATAAGGGCCTAAAATGGGGAGGTGGCAGAAATGGAAAGTTAACAGATGTAAAATATTTGACTAAATGGAGGTGGGGGTGGAGGGGAGAGAAGGGTCAAAGGTATCACTGTGGTTTTTAGTCTTGGGTAGCAGAGTGAAAAGCTCTGTCCTTGAAGTAAAACTCCAAAAGGTTCAGTTTTGGGGAAAAAGTGACAAGTTCCAATTTAGATATGTTAAATTTGGGGTACTGTATGACATTTAAGTGGAGGCATCCTGTAGGTATTTGGAAGTGCACCTATTTAATAAGGGTGCACCAAGTGAAAGGCAGAGAAATTGGGAGACATCCCTAAAGAACGATAATACCCCTTTTCAACTCTATCAACAACAGTCCTCAAGCAACAAGGGTAGTTCTTTCCCAAAGCAGAGAGGGATCTGTGGTAACCCAGTGTGTTAACTTAAGCCGGAGAAGGGATGAGAGGAACGGGGTGATAGTATTGCTGCTTATTATAACATAGTCCAATAAAGGAAAGTATTTCAAGGGAAAATATCTCAGCCTTAAATGTGTAATTTAAACTGCTATCTCAAATCGATTTGAGAACACTAACCCTGGAATTTTAAAAAGTTCTATATTCAAGCTCTGGTTTTATAATGGATTTGCCAAACTGTAAAGCTCTTCATTACTTTGATCCCCCAAAAAAGCCCAAAAGGTACCATGAAACTGAAGTAACCTGGAGCTGTGGGGAAGGGAAATATCTCCCAATGCAGTCTCAACCCCAAAACGCTGTGGGAGATCACATTAGGTACCTCAGGAGCAAAAGAAATGTGATGAGCCAGCTCACCCAAGGGTCTAACAGTTTGGACATAAGTAAACTCAATTCATTGTTTATTGAACACTTGTAACGCCAGCAAGCTTTCACAAAGAAGGCTGCACCTGCTCTGAAGGAGGAAGGAGTGCAGTACAGACATGGGGTAAAAGGCCCCTACAGGGACGTCAACAACACAGTCGGCTTCATGCGCTAAATCTGAAAACAACTTTGTAGCATGCAAAACACTTAATCACTATCAAATCTTTGGCCTCCCTGGGCCTGTTTGCCCTTTTGTAAAATGGGAATATTAAGCCCATTTATTATTTGCACCACCTATAGCAAAAAGAGAGAGGTTTTGAAACCTTAAAAGCGACACTAGGTACCATGAGTGCCAGGTGTTACTAGGCCAGTGTCCCTGCACGCCTGTTTTCTAATCTACCAAATGGGTGAATAATACGGGGAAGAGTGGGGGGGGAGGGTCGGGCTGCAAAGACCTCTCACTGGAAGAAATGAGTCACCTGAGATAGATGGAGTAAAGCGGGCGGGAGGTCCGGGAGAGGGCCAGGGGGCACTAATCTCTTGGTCCCGACCGGGTCACCCCCTCCCCGACCCAGGAAACAGCACGCTCAGGCCTCTCTCTGTCCCAAGCCAATCTTGAACGCGGACACGCGCGCGCGCGGGAAACTGAAGGGAAGGGGTAAGGAAAAGGGGGAAGGGGGGAACTAAAATCCTAGGCAATTTTTTGCACTCGCGCCACGAGGAGGCCAGGTCAACCGACCCCCTACTAATCTCCCAATCCCAGGCCTCCACAAGACGCCAACGGGTGGAGTCCAATGCTACAATCCAAAGGCCGTCACCGCCCAGTCTAGTCTACTCCCGGCCAACAGTCCGTCGGGAGGGTCTTTCCTCTTTGCTCTTGGCTCCCCTCCCCCACCAGCTGTCTTCGGTCCAATCAGCAGGCACTTCCTGCCCTCTCGTATAGCCAATCCACATCCTCCACGAAGAGTAGCCCTAGGGGGCGTGTGGGAAGGTATCTGGAGCGATGGTCATACTGACCAACGGAGTGCTAGCACGATAAGAAAGGGGCGGGGTTGAGGCCCAGAATCGACCAATCAGTATCTAGGGGTGAAGCCTGGGTAGGGCGCCGCGCGCGCGGTGGGGCTCGCTCGGCGTCCTCCTAGCTCTGAGGCACGTGACGTTCGCTTCGGGCCGATCCGCTGCAGCATCCGCGGTGCTGGGCGTGGGGCGAGGGGGTGGGAAGTGGCGCCGGCGCCGGCCGTGAAGCACGAGGTGAGACGGGCGTAGCTACCCTGGTCTTGGGGATGGGGACAGTCGGGGCCTGGGAGGTCGGCTTCACGTCAAGGGTGGAGGAGGGCTGGCCTAAGCTGGCCAGGCAGAGCGGTGGGGGAAGAGGCCTGAGGCCTTGCGGGCCAGGGGACTGGTGGGAGTGATGCGGCTTGGGGTCGGGGACCGGCGCTTCCTAGCGGAGGAGCGGGCTGGAGCCGGGTCCGTGCGGAGATTTGTGGGCGCTGAGCGGCCTGCGGAGGCAGGCCGGGCGGGGGGTCATTGGGGCCAGGGCCCGGAGGGGGGCGTGACCTCCAGGCCGGGCTCGCCGGCGGGCGGCGGCCCAGGCGCCTCAGAGGCCCGCGTGCCTCTTGCCTGTCTGCTTATCCCCCGGCGGGCAGTGTACGGCCTGGCCCAGCCCGAGTGGGAAGGCCTCTGGGGACAGACGGGCCTGGGGCGGTGCGGGGGAGAGAGAAGCCATCTTCCCCCGTCTAGGCAGGAGCCCGGGAACGTACCGGACGAAGAAGCCAAATCCTCCCGGCATGAGGTGGCTGGGGTGTTGGGAAACCGGCGATTCCGAAACGGCGGCAGGGTGGGAAGGAGGACCTCGACCGTGGGGTTAGGTAACTTGTTGGGAAAGAAATGGCCAGAAGACAGGCCGAAAAACTTGTTTCTAGGGTGATGAATATGTACCTCTATCTATATATGAGAATTCATTTATCTTTAGAAAATTATAAGTGTTCCAAAGAGTTTTTGGCATCTTATCTCTGAAAAAATACTTTTCAAGGCCCAATCCCCTTGTTTTAGTGGTCCAGAGAAGGGACGCAACTTGCCCAAGGTCACACAGCCAGGTTAATTGGCAAAGCTGGAAATTGAACTTAATTCTTATAGCACTTTATTCAGAGCTCTTTAAGCCCACACCATTCTCTGGGTCACTTAAGCTCTGACACAGTACTGGAAAGTAATATTTTTTTCGTTTCAGACATTACATTCTCTTCTTTATTCCGATCCCATTGTGACAAGGGTGCCCCCCATGGGACTTTCTGTCCTTAAACTTACTCTCTACAAGCTCTCCCTTGGCAATACCTCTCTCCAAGCTTCTAACCCTGTGCAGATAATTCCTTAATTTATAGCTCAACACATCTCCAAATGCCTAAGGATTATCTTCACCTGGATATCCTACAGAGACCTAGAACTCAACATGTCCAAAAGCAAATTAATTATATTTTTATCAAAACAACCTCTTGACTACTGGTTTGTATCACCACTATCTACCTGGTGTGCCCTGAGGGCAGCAGCCCTTTTGCACTGGCAGGTGTTTAATAAATGTTTGTTGAGTTGATTCAAATTTTTGGAGTCAATCAGTGACTAGGTTCTCTGGAATCCATTCTTGAACTCTTAGCCCTTTTCAATCCTTCATTCCAATGTCAAAATGATCTTTGAAAATAGATCTGGTCATGCCACACTTGTAACCAAAAGATCTTTTAAGTAGTTCCCTATTGCCTCCTTGAGTACACGTCAACAAATATTCGTGGTATCTAAGACTCCAAGCCTGGAGTCACCTCATCTACCTTCCCAAACTTATATTATTCTCTAACATGTTCTGGTTCAGCCAAACTGGACAACTTTGTGCTCCTGAGCACACATAGTGCACTCAACTTTATACTTTTGTTGTAATTGTCCCTCTTTCTCCCTAGTCATCTTTTGAAATTCTACCCATCTTTTAAAACCCAATTTAAATGTTATCTCCTCCTGGAAATCTTCTTTGATAATCACATTCTCCTCAGACCTCATGTGGCATTTTGCTTTCTAATTCTTCAAGGTACTTAATATGATATTGCATTGTATTAAATCTGTATTGGTGTTGTGTAACTTAGCACACACCATTTCTCTGTATTAGTAATGGCTTAATAAATGTTTGGGGAAGGGAACAAGCATTTATTGACCACCTGCTATGTGTCAGGCACTGTGCTAAGCATTTTACAAATATCTTATTGAGATGTTGGGGAGAAGTAATGGAAATTCAACTATTTAAAATAAGCAAAGGCATTTATAAATGCTGATGAAGAAAAAATAATTGGAATTGGTGTAGAACTCACTCCTTCCACTAAAGTACAATTAGAAGACAATACTTTGTCATGTATCTACAGAATGGGAGAAGAAAGAACTATGCTGAAAGGGAAACTCCAAATTTCTTAGAATTTTGAATTAGATTTTTGTGTGGTTTTGAATATTCCTTTGGAGTCAAGTTTTGTTTTTTTTTTCTTTTTTAAATGGGGCACTATTGTGATTATCTGTTAGCAAATATAAAGTGGATCTTAAGCCATGGATTGAGACAGCTTTTCTTTCAATTTCTTAGGCTCTAGTCAGGGCTTAAGAGTAATTATAAATTGCATGGTACTTTTCACCTTGTACAACGAAATGTAGTAAGTGAATGAATTTAAAGAAGCTTTGGTTTAAAAAAAAATCTTAAAACTAGAATTAAAGTGAATTGTGTGACCTGGCACTTACAAGTACATGTAATGAGTTAAATTTGAGACTTGTGGACAGGGCTTTTTTCTTTTAAAGATGTTCAGGGATCTGAGTATTCTTTTCTGATTTTACTAATACACAAGTTGTATCTATTTTAAGTGCCTTTATCACAGTAAACAGATCCTTGGTGTCAGAATATGGAGACCAGACTTTTGTTTTTGATAACTAGCATTAAGCTGTCCAGTGATAATCTTACAAGGCCCACTGAGTGATGTGGTTCTGGAAAAAAATCCTTGCTTGCTACTTTGTTAAATAACATTAGGCAGTGTTTGCCCCCAAAATGAGGCAATTTTGGTCTGTAAAATGGTAGCTGATATTAGGGCTGAGTAATGAATGGTGCTTAATATGTACCAGATTTAAAATTTCAGGATTTTATGTCACTAGCTTACTATTCTCTCCTAATGCAATTTAATCTGGGCCTCACAGTTTTTTCTGTAGTTTGGAGAGATAGCATGGAATTCAAACCAGATGATGGCTCCAAGAATATTTGAAAAGCATAAAATGCTACTCAAATATAAACTAAAATCACTGTAAGATGGCAGTATCTCTAGCATGTATGTGATCCAGTACACTGTATTGAAAATGGAATGTTAATACTGAGTTGAAATAATAAAATGCCTAGAATGACAATACAGATAATTCTGAAGTAAATTTAAATTTTATATTTGTGAACAATTGTTTGTTTTTTAAAGAAATCAGAGACTTGGATATTTAGTATTGCTGTTTCGCAAGTACAGTTGTAAAGAGTAAACAACCAGGTCTTCTGTTATTAACAAAGGCCAATAAAAGAGAAATAAAGCAGTAGTGAAAATTATTGTTGCAATTGATGGATGGTAGGAAAGGCTGGGAAGATGTCACAGAATCTGAGAAGTGGAAAGAACTCAAGTGAAGATGGGATTCGGCCTTCTTGATTTCCAGTGGAGTGAACAGAGGCCCAGAACAAGGGGAATTACTTGCCCAAGGTGTCCAAGCTAAGTAGCAGAACAGAGATTTGAGCCTGCATCTTCTGACTCTAAATCTCACTGTCTTTTCTTTTATGAATCACTTTTTCCCTTTTTTCCTTCTATTTTTAAAATAAAATTTTATTGATATTTTTTGTTTAATTTTTTACGTCACCAAAATTTTCCCCAGCATCCTCCAGCAAGTCATTTCATATAACTATTGTGAGAAAGGGGGTGGGAGGCATCGACGGAATTGATAATTACATCAAAAGAATCTGAAATACCACACCCATGGACCTCCCCCCTGTACAAAGGTTTGGGGATATCATATCTTTACTTTGGAACTTGTTCTTTATAATTTTGCAACATTTGCTTGGGGGGAGGTTGGGTTCTTTCCATTTATATTTTTGTCACTGTGTGTTTTCTTGTCTGTTCACTCTGCATCACTTAATGTAAGTCTTGCCATGTTTCTGCATCATCATAGTCATCATTTCTTACACCAGAGTAATATTCCATTACATTCATGTACCATAGTTTGTTTAGCCAATCTCCAGTTGACGGTCATATACTAATGCTGCTATAACTATTTTGGAGTCTATGGAATACTTCTTACCTTTTGTTTTTTCCTTCATTAAGTGTTTGCTTTCTTTTGGAGCCCTGAAGAAAGATTATGTTAAGCTTTTGAGAAATATTTTCACTTTGGGTCCATTTCTTTACTTATAATTGCATGGAAAGGTGTGTTTACTATTAACCTCTTTATCCTTTCAACAATGACCAAAAAATTATATGGGCTAACAACCTTAGAAATTTTAGGTCCTATAAGGAACTTTTGATATAGTGGAAAGAGGACCAGACTTGGAGACAGAAAACTGAGTTTCTAGAGGTAGCTAGTTAACTTTTTTCTTTTTTCTTTTTTTGGCTAGGCAATGGGGTTAAGTGACTTTCCCAGGGTCACACAGCTAGTAAATGTCAAGTGTCTGAGGCCGAATTTGCACTCAGGTCCTCCTGACTCCAAGGCTGATGCTCTATCCACTTTGACACACAATTGCCCCGGAGCTAGTTACTTTCACTATAACTTAAAGAATAGGTCATTTCCATTCTGTGGGCTTCTATTTCTTCATTTCTAGAATGAGTGAATTAGACTTCTGATTCTCCTGTAATTCTCCTATATTCTCTCTCTTTTGGTTCACAAGATTTATTCCATTTGTGAAGGGCTATTTCAGATAGAGCATTTTTTTTAATTGTACACAGAAAAGTGTATTTCCAACAATCTCTTCAAAAGATTACAGTTTTTGGTGGTCACAGGAACCTAACTCCGTATTTCCCATAGGTTCACTATATCAACATTCTAATTTTTTTTTTACTTTTGCACTATTTTCTTTTTTGTTGTTGTTAATTTATTTATTTTTGGTTTTCATCATTTACTTCCACAAGACTTTGAGTTTCAAATTTTCTCCCATCTCGTCCCTCCCCCCAACCTAAAACGGTGTGTATTCTGAATACTCCTTCTCCTAATCTGCCCTCCTTTCTATC